GCAGTGTTTATTTTGCTTAGCCACACTCTTTATGGTAGTCATCCCTCGACTCCTTTTACAGCGTCTCTATGCATCGTGTCCCATCACTGCTTAAAGGACCTCATTTACAGAGCTGAATGAAAGTCCGGGCCAGCAAAACCATCAAACTTTATTATGGCCTCGATGCTTTAATGTGGAGTCGTACAAAAAGTCACACAGGGACAATATCTGCTGATTGATAACAGAACGGGGACTCTGAACACTTACAGTAATTATGTATTTTGCTTTAACACTATTCAGATGTTTCAACGGCAAGTACAAGAATGGAGATAATTGAAAATTTAGGTGAAAAGTTGACTCAGAACTTCATTGTACCGTTATCGCCTTCCCCAACCATATTTTTACATCTGTATGAAATTCTAAAAAGCTTTGTATAACTGAAGCATCGCACGGACGAGATCCTGTCAGGAAGTGATTATCAAAATCAGTGCATCCATTAACGTGTCTGCTGCTTAACGAAGGGTCCTGTTGTTATTGGCGACAGCAGATTTCCTTTGATGTTATCAGTGGGAGGGACGTTTGCAGGAGGAAATTAATTGACTAAAAGCTCTTGAATCACAGAGGAGAGGTAGATTGCTCACACGATTTTTCATTACTGGACAAAATGTGCACAATGACAGGAGACGTTGACGTAATCTCAAAGTGTCTAAATTTTATGAGGTCTGCTGCAGAGAGGCCTTTTTAAGCTTTATTCTATTCCCTGTTTTGTCGCTGTCGGCTCACACTGAGAACCAACACTCTTTGATTCTGCTGTTTAGAGGATTACTGACTGACACATCAATTAGAAGAAAAACTCAAAAGAATTTGTGCAGCATATAAAATAAAAATAAAGTGAAAGCATCTATAGTCTCCCATCACAAAACTGCATCAACAAGTAAAACTGCTGAGCAGAGACGGATCTGCCCAACATCCCGGCACCCACGGTTATTTTCTAAAAGTTATCTTTAAACACACATATCTTCTACTGAGAGGAAGTACCAGTAACAAGAGAAGTGTGTGATTTGTAATGTGGGATGTGTAAGTATTGAAGTTAGTGACAGTAATGACCTACATCGCTGCATTACAGACAATCCATCCTTCTTCTTCCACTTATCCGAGGTCAAGACTTCCCTCTCCCGAGCAACGTTCCCAGCTCCTCTAAGGTGTTCCCAGACCGGATGAGATATATAATCCCTCCAACAAACTTTGGGGCTGTTTTTAAAAACCGCCTACTAGATACTAGTGTTGTAGTCAAGACCAAACTAACCGAGACAAGACCAAGACATTTAGGCATTGAGACCAAGTCAAGACGAAGACCAAGGCAGGGCAAGAACGAGACTAGACCAAGACCATAAATATCACTGAACAATCATCATCTTGTGTGCAGCGTGTCACTCACTTAGACCATAACACCGGGAAGGTTGCAGCTGTAACCGGGGGATAAATATCTAATTATTTGTTCTTTTAGGAAGAGGCATTTTCCTAAAAGATGACGTGGAAAAATAGCCAATCAGTGGTGGTTGAGACAGGGCCGAGAAAAAATGCTTTAGATTCCGAGACCTTCAAAAAGTGGTCTCGAGACCGGTCACTTGTCTGTAGTATGACTGCCAGTCGATGGTTATTCTGCAGTACACCAGACCCCGCTAAACTGGTTTCTGGTCTTGGAATGAGGAAGTAAATAACAGCCCAGCTGACGTCAGATGTCGCTACAGTGTTGCTCCACTTACAGTCTGAAAAAAGCTGACAAGAGATTCATTCAGATTTTCATGATTTAGAGAATCAAAACAGTATGGGGTAGCTTGCAGTGTAGGTACAGAAGTAAACGCCCTGCAGTGAGTGTGCACTTCTGGGGGCGATGAACTCAGGAGGAGGGGGCCTAGTTGTTACCTATAATAAGACTAAACTTTGAAACAATATGTGCATTATTTTGCCGTCATGCGTCATTTCTTCAGAGGGTCTAAGACTGTCCCAGCTGTCACCACCAGGACAGCTTCCTGTCTCCCGATGTCTCGAAACCCTTTTTCACACCTTACTGAGCAGGCAAGAAGTAAAATCTCTGCAATATAAAACACAAATTCTGTGAAATATGCTGACCCGCACCTGCTGTTTTGGAAACCTGCACTATGAGCTGTATTATAGGCCAAGAGCTGAAGCAGAGAGAGAACGAGATAGATGTCTGAGACAGCAACTAGCACAGCACCTCTCCAATTTAAAGCAGCTTCACTTCCTCTTTATCTCACTTTCTCAAACTTAAACCCTCATTTTTCCTCCTCTCACTCCAACCAGCTCTGACTATCAACCCGCCGCTGCCTCCACCACCTCCTTAGTCTCTGTAAACATTTCTAACACACACACACACACACACCTTGCTTAAGGGTGGCTTTTCACTACACAAATCTCAATTGCTTTTTCACACAGTCCATCGAGGAGTGAGAGGCTTAAGGAGGGAGAGATGGACGGGATAAAGACAGCAGCACAGAGAGAGAGAGAGAGAGAGAGAGAGAGAGAGAGAGAGAGATGAGAAAAAGAACCTAATCCCAGATTGATGGCTGCTAATAAAGTTTGATTATTACTGACAAGGCACTCTGAGTTTCTAATTGACACTTGTAATAGCCTGGGAGCCGAGACAGTGAAGGAAGTGGAGAGGCAGAGGGGGGTTTTTCTGTTGGCTCAGCAGAGTTTGAGCAGCAGCAAATCACTGTCACGATTAGAGAATAAATGAAAACATGGATGAACAAAAGGGATCGCCACCTTGACCAATAGAGACAATTTAGATACATCAACTCTTCAGACTTCACTTCCAACCTGTTCTTAGACAGAAAACAGCAGCTGATCTACTGGTCAATCTATGTTGGTACCATGTCAGTGTTTCGTCTGTTGCAGCAGGTAACCAATAACATGTACTGCACTGCTGAAGATTTCTAGATAATGTCAGACAAGCTAGTCCTAAAATCTTCCTGAATTGGCTATTAACTGCTAAATTCCACCAGATGCGTGCTCTGTCTGTCTCTGCTCAGTCACGGCAGCAGAGCTGGTTCTTACTTTATTCAATGTGTGTGCTTCCACTGGCTCCACTGCGTCTCAGCTCCGTCAGTCCTCTGCAGCAGATCCACAAGATATTTACCACAGAGCAGATCAAGTGGGACAGGAAGTCAAGACCCTGAAACAACATTAAAACATCTGGTTTATTTTCAAAATAAAACACTCTGTTTTGACTGTGGAGAACAATAACCGTATGTGTTATTGTTAATGTGTTTATAAGGGTTTTATAAGGTTCGTAGTCATCGTAGTATCTCGCGCTGTCATCATTAATCTATAATTACTGCGGGAATTGCAGCTCTGAGAATGCACGTTTCTGCTGGAAGTTTGGGTAACATATGCAAATCACAGTGGGGGGGGGGGAGGGAGGAAGTCTCAGGAGGCAGGGCATGATGTGAAAGGATGACTGAGAAGAGTCCTGCACTATAATAAGAGTTTTTTTGCCTTCATATCACTGCTACATGATGTTTAGTATAATAATAGAAAAGATGCTGAAGCAGCTTCACTACGTGCACGACGAACGCAGAGGTCGCTGACGGCTTGTTGTGTTCCCACAGCATCTAACCCAGACATCACAGAGACATTTCAGTAAAACGAAATGGAGTAATGCTTCTCATTGCACAGCATAACTAAAAGTGGTTAAAATGTTTTAAATATGTCGTCATGTGTTGCTTACTGCAGTAGCCATCATGAAAAACGGCCCCCGTGGGATGGTCCCTCATCTCTATGTGCTGCTAAGAAGGCAACCTTTGACATGTTGGCCAAAAATGAAATCCTGTTTTCCACTCATGTGCTTTTGGTTTATTTTTGATGCTTTATGTTTTGAGAGAGAGAGAGAGAGAAAATGGGTAAAGATTTACGTCAGCTCAGACGCTCTGTTTTCTGACGTTATGCAGCACTTGCACAGTTTTTCCTGCAGGTTACTGAAGCGATGCATCTCCCTGTACACTTAACTATGAGTTGAATAATTTAAACTCTGCTTCTAAGGAAATGTAACTCTTAAGGTAAAGTTGTGTAGCCTATTTTTTTAAGCAGGGTTGTACAAGGTTCTTATCAATAATAACTAAAGTAGATACAGGAGATGTTGGTTCAGCCCGGCCCCTCTCTTGAGAACCAGCAGGAGTTCGGTCAGGCTCTACATTGCAGCAGACGGTACATTTTCTCTAGATAAATTTAGCTAATTTTGGAAAATTCTGCGCTTCCTTCAGCTTGTTTATGTTTCACTCAGAGGCTCTGGAGACAGGAGGGGTGGGGAGAGCTGAAGGATGAAGGAGGTGTGTCCAGACCTCCTCTGTAATCTGAAAACATGCTCTAAAAGCTGCATTCTAGGCTTTTGAAGTGTATTCTCCCAACAATGTTTCAATCAGTTTAGATCACCTCTGATTTCCTTGCAGATCGTTTAGTGTGCTTTCTTTTTAGCTCTCCCTTCTGACATGTTTATGCTTCAAACACAGTGAAATCTAGCCGCATGGAATTCAGTGTGTTTCATAAAGCACAAGAAAAAACATTTAATACCTAGCTTAATACTGACTCTACTTACTTAGCAACACTTCTCTGCAGAAACGTTCATCCTTTGACTTTAGATAATCCACAGAGCACACTGTCATCACTTTTCAAACTGACTGTCTCTACGCTGTAAGGAGTTGTTGGAGCACAGCTTGTTCTGTGGATTATCCAGACTTAGTGAGGCATTGTTTCACAGACAAAATGTTTTAATTTTTTTCATATTTTCCCACCGACTTCAGATCACAATGGCCCTGATATTTCTACCTGTGCTGATGTTGTGACATAAAGAACAGAGTTAAAGAGTCCAGATCCTGCACCCAAACCTTCATGCACCCATAGTTCTGCAAGGAGAAAATCCACCAGACAGTGCCATTCAGAAAGTTCTTCTTAACCCGATTCTCTTCCCTCTCTCTCTCTCTCCTCTCTTATTGTCTCAGGTTCAGAAATGGTGGAGGCCCAGTGTCAGAGGTTCGAGGTGAGAAGTACAGACGGAGAGAGGGTTCTGTTCTCAGCAGATGAAGAGGAGATCAGCATCGGCACCGAGAAACTAAGAGTCACAGGTAGGGACATGAACCAAGAGTACCACACTTTATGTATTATGACTTTGATTTTTTTTTGTGGACTTTCAAGCGCTTGTCCTGCTGTGCATACATTATAAAGATATGCACACAGAGGTGCTGGGAGTTATCGGAGGAGCTGAGAAAAATCATTCCTATGATGATGTTATTCAGTTAATTATGAGCAGTGTTAGTGTTGCACCCTTTAAAAGGAACCGGTCAGAACTCGTCCATCTTCACTTTAAGCAACTTTTAGTAAAGAAAGGCCCACAGCGCTACATAAGGTTCTTTTTACAGCCTACACACCTCAGTGTCTTCTTCACTGAACCTCTCTTAAAGGGCCAGTGCCTTAATCTTTAAAGGTAGGTAAAACATACAGTATTTAGTGTTTATAACTTGCTTTTATTTTACTAGTTATCTTAGAAATATAAATCAACATTTCTGGAAATGAAATTAGTTCAACTAGAGACACTGATATAACAAAATGACAGAAATAAATATGAAAATTTGAAGAAACATTTTATTACATTAGTCCAAACATGTTACTAAATAATGTGTTAGCCTACCGCTGCTGCTATTCACGGTAACTAGTACTTGTTATTTTCCAAATTCAATAACACTGTTACAATTCCTGACATTTACAAGCACTCATTACTTTATGTGAAACAGCCGTCAACAACACCAGATAAAGGTGTATTGACATCAATTCAGTGTGCGACGTAACGCTAACAACAGGCTTCTACTGAACTAACTGTCAGAGAGTGCCGTGCTGCAGACACCTGAGACACAGGTGCAGCTCAAGTTAGCTCTGCAGACCAAGAAGGAGACGCTCCTTAAGAACAGCCGGCTTGATTTAAATCACTACCTGCTCAACGATCTGTGAGCCAGACTAAAGACTGATAGACAGGTGTGTTGTCGACGACAACGTGCTTCATATCAATGGACAAGTCTGTTGCCTTCAGAGATTTAGTCGGTAAAATACCTACATATAGAAAAAAAGAGAAGAAGAATAAAGTGCTTTTATTGACTTTAATATCTGTTTTGTCTCTTTGTTATTGAATCATTCTTTCATAAATACATAAAATACATAAATAGTGATAAAATCAAGAGGAAGTATGTGTAAGAATGTGTGTGTGTGTTAGTTATCAGACACACATTTCCAACTTTCAAGGTGAACTATACACACACTAACACATACAAACACACACACACACACTCTCAGGTCTGGGTAATTGAGGAGACATGTCCATTAAAGGCACTCTGAAGGAACGCCGCTGTCATTTACTGCGTGATGGAGGTGAGAGAGGCGAGAGACTGAAGGGTGGAGGGAATGCAAATATAAACTCATCCACTCAGCTCATGCGCCGAGGTCCAGTGGAGTCATGCTATGCTAATGTTTATTTTTAAGATTTGTAGCGAGATTGATTCTGTTGCCCTCCGCAGCAGTGAGAGGTGCACAGCAGAGACCGTCGAGCTTCAGTGGAAGATCTCACATATACGCCTGCTCTTTATGAGAATAAGCTGATGGAGGCCGTTGCAGAGGCTTCTAGTGTGTGATACAAGTGGGCTCAAGCTTGATCTGCACATATGAAAATAAATACTACGTTGATAGCAGGTGCAATAACAGGGGCGGTGTTGGACGCCGCGACAAAGGCAGGCCGGTGGAGACTCTGGACACGCCTGGGGTCCCTGCTGGTCACCTCAGCTGGCACCTAGCAGCTGACTTAGAACTGTTGGAATCCACCTGTTAATTTAAACAAAAGCATCTTCAAGGCCCACGGCAGGTGTTGTTGACTCGATGTGATTTCTGCCAAGTGTTCTAAATGTCAAAGTAAAGAAATGCAATGAAGCGTGGGTAACGATGGGAGTAACTGTGACTTTCTTGAGATAACCAAATGCCCTAATGCAGATGTTATTGAACTTTCCATATCTGTTAGAATCTGCTTCAAATCGACACAAAAAGCTGTTCCACAGTCAACTGCGAGTGACCCTCAGTTAAATGTGTCTGTTTATGTGTAGGGGCATTAAAGGTCACATATTCTGCTAAATACTCTTCACCATCTTTCTTTAACTCTAATATGTGTCTCTAGTCCTTCTACAAACCCCCCAATGATGAGAAAAGTCGATCCTCTCCATCTTTTCCCTGCTCCACTTTTCAGAAAATGAATGCTCAAACAGGCCATTTGGAGAATTTCCCCTTCATGACATCACAAACCCCTCCCCCAGGTGGGTGACACTCCCACAGCAAGGTGTTTGTTCTGCCCTCTGAGTCTGCCTTCTCACTATTAACAATAGGACATGGAGAAAGACTGAGACACCCGAGCCCTGCCAGAGAGGGGGCGTGGTCAGACACAGCTCATTTAATATTTAAAGGTACAGACACAGAAACAGCCTGTTCTGAGCAGGGCTGAAATAGAGGGGTTTATAGGCATGATCAAATACAGGATCAGAGTAGATTTAGAACAAGAAACTTCACACACATGTTTTTGAGGAGCTGGTTGAAGAGGAGGAGAATATGAGACCTTTAATATTGAAACACAGCATCATCCCCTTCTGCTCAGACTCTTGCTCTGAATGATGTCACCGGTGCAAGAAGCAAGTGATACTTTAGCATCAGTTTGGTACAGCCACAGAAGGTAGGGACGCGTAGTCCCTCTTAGTCAATGGGGGCCAACCAAAAGGCCATGACGTGTAAATAAACATAATCATCATCATCATTGACAAACTCAGGAGTCCATTAGAAAACAGATACAAACTAAGATTTCTGATAAGAAGCAGAGTACCAAGGTCAGTGTCTCAGACTGCTGTCAATATTTTGAGGTATAAACTAAAAGAAACAAAGTCAGAAGATGGAATATAAGATGTTTTGAAAAAGTGAGATACATCATTCTAACAAATATTGAACTAGGAGAGTTTTTTTCTTCTTCTGTTTTTTATCACTTTCTCATTGTTTATTGGACCTTGGAACAAACAACTGAAGCAGGATCTGAGCAATGCAAGAAATAGAACTCTTCAAGTTTAGCATCTTTTGGATGCACACCTGCACTGTCCTCCTTGAATCTCCTCGAAATAAACTTTGCAAATACGCTGCCTCGAATGTCAAGCAACAGTTGAAATCTCATTGTTTTTCAAATCTGACTCTTTGCCAACAAGCTTAGTTTTCTTGTGCAGAATTAAAATGTGTAGCAGTGCTGAGTTTCCAGCATGCGTCTTCAGCCTCAGCGGGAGTCATGACCGGCGCTCCCCTCAAGCATCTGTTCAGGGCTGCAGGCTAAAGCGGAGGTGGCTGCTGCACACGGGGGGGTTAAACACTGCATCATGCCCCGGCCAAAAGGGAAAATGATGTTCTGCAGTGCAACTATTTAGCATCAGTAAAGCTGTGTGTACGGGGGAATGTAATCTCCCTTGGGTGACATTTACGTCAACATATCAGGAAAATACTGAAAATGCTGTCGAACATCCTCCTGCTTTACTCCACATTGGTATAATCTGTAAAAGTATGTTTGTCTATTGGAAATATTGTTGCACACACGATTTAACACACAGAAGATCTGAGCCCCGTCTCTTGCATTTTAAGTGTCTGCCTCAGCTCCAAGAACAGACGCATGATGCAACATTGTGCAGGCTTTAATACAAAAAGATGTCTTTTCTTGTTCTTCCTTTCATCCTGTCTCCATCTCTCCTCAGGGAACGAAGGCGTGGTGTTCAGCCATTCTGTAGAGACGTCACATGTACGGGCAGAACCGTTTCAGGACCTAAAGTAAGTACTGTAAATGAGTCTGTGTGTGTGTGTGTGTGAGAGACGGCCGTGCGTGTATAACAAGCAGTGTGCAGCATTTACAATTCAAGTCGTCCCTTGTTGTTATTGTAATTAAGTTGTGTTAGAATATGCATGAAGTGTGTACTCTTGAATAATTACTAAGACTGTAACTTCAGCGATAACAATTTCAGGGGAAATGTGTTGATCTGTAAAGTTGAATCTGCTGAGTAAGCAGACTGCAGCTGGTCCTGTGGCGCAGTGAGCTCATGACATATAATCAGCCTCAGTGTGGTGTCTAGACACTCTGAATAAGGGTGTTATGGTGAACAGGGACTGAATGGTTCAGTTTGCAACTCATGAATTAGGACACGTGTGGTTTATGGAGACAGTGAACGTCCGCTCACATTCTGAGGTACTGAGAGCTGCTGAGCTGTGTGAGCCCCAAGTTGGAAATGTGACACCTGATATGCATTCGACACGGCTTCTGTATCGTTTTTTTTTCATTGTGATTGTTTTTGTTTCCTTTAAACAGCAAAGACAGAAGTGTCTAACATTAATCATCCAGTCACTTACATGTGGCTGCAGCTCAGTGGGGGTTCAATCCCCAGCTCCTGCAGCCACATGTTAGATTTGTCCCTTTGCGAGACACTTAACCCCAAGCTGCTCCTGCTGATTCATCAGTGGCCATGATCAATCAATCAATCAGTCTTTATTTGTATAGCCCCAATTCATAACAAGTGTTATCTCGAGATGCTATTAAAAAAGAGGACTTAATAAACATGAACCAGTTCATTTTCATCTTATATGAACTGAACTTTGAGCCAGCTCTTTTTCAGTGTGCACTTACACACCACTGTTGAGCCCGCAGCAGAAAGAGGTGTGATGGTGATTGGCAGCCTGACAGGCCTGACACAGGGAACAAAAGCCTGTCAGTGTGCAATGTGCAAGGGTCAGACTCTTACCAAGTGGCCTCTGCCATCTGATACATGCACCAACACATGTAGTGCACCCTGTTCTTTATATATTTCCATGCCTTAGAAGCTGTTACTCTGAAGTTTTTGATGAACTTAAAGAACAGAGGCAGAGGTTTAATCTGGTTTAGAAAACAACAGTGTCAGATTGGGTTCATTCATAGTGTGCATTTCCTCACCTGAAATGTGTTTTGGGTATTTTTCATGCTCTCATAAAGCTCCTTTATTATTGATCCCCCAGACTGATACATGTTTTATAACACGGTGGTTAGCTGAAGTAAAGAAGAAAACACAAACACAGCGAGAAGAGAGATAGAGGCAAGAAAGAGAGAAACAGAAGAAGAGGTGATAAAGTATTGCAGAAACTGTGATTCTGTGTGAAGTAGAGAAGAGACACAATTGACTTGATTAAAGGGGGGGAAGGCAGGGCTGGGGTTGGGGTGATGAAGAGGACAATCAAACAGATAAAAAAGAAGGCGGGGGGCAGAGGAGGGTGACAGAGGGAAAGTTCAGGAGGAGGGGATGGAGGTAAGTGTAGAGAAGAATAGATTAAATCCAACCAGCTCCTGCAGTGAGATTGGGACGCAGCAGCTGCATATAATTCGATACAGACAAAATATAAAATCCATCACGACTTGAGGAAATAGCCAGTTTCCTTTTTGTGAGACAAGTTGCCATCGTGAAATTTACAGTTACTGTACTTTTTCTAAAAGTTTCAAAAAACAATTTTGCTTTGGAAAACAATGAAGCTGAAGAGACAGCAGCTGTTGTTACTGTCTTGAGTTCAGGGTACTTTACTTCTTGTTTTCACACAGATCGTGGTTTTATTTTGAAATACTTTAAGGATGTTTTGGTAGATGGACATCACAAAGGGCAGTAACCCCTCCCCCAGGTGGGTGACACTTCCACAGCTAAGTTCTGCCCTCTGAGTCTGCCTTCTCACCATAAACAATAGGACATGGAGTGAGAAAGCCTGAGTACACCCAAGCCCTTCCAGAGAGGGGGCGTGGTCAAACACAGCTCATTTACATATTTAAAGGTACAGACACAGAAACAGCCTGTTCTGAGCAGGGCTGAAATGGAGGGGTTTATAGTTCATGATCAAATATAGGATCAGAGTGGATTTAGAACAAGAAACTTCACACACATGTTTTGGAGAGCTCTGAGACTTATTTACACTGGTTAAAGAGGAGAAGAACATGTGACCTTTAAGGGAGTTGAGCATTATTTATTGCAGCCAAGAAGATAGAGTTTAAAGGTCCCATATTATACTTTTTCTGGTTTTATATGCCCTTTAGTGTGCTTTCCAAGTGTCCTGTGCATGTTTAGGCACATCTATGTGCAAAAATTCAAAGTCCGCGGAAACGCGGCTTCTCCTACGTCCTCCTGTTAGCCGCAAGTAACGCTCGGTTCTAGCCCCCCTCGATAAAAATGTGTCAGTCCGACGTCATTGTCAGTGTGAGATCACTGATCTAAGCCCGTTGGCTCGTTGTGGCAAGCCCTGCAGCTCATGTTGACATTTCCGAGACACGTGCTGAGCAACTGACCAATAACGACAGAGCGGATCGGCAGATCAATCAGAGCAGACTTGGCCCACAGGGTTTCTAACAGTGTGGGCTCAGCAGAGTGTAGCTGAGGAATCAGAGCGTAGAGGGAGCAAGGAGGAGCAGTACATGAAAAACAGACACTTTTTTCGGACTTTAGCTATTGTGAACGTACAAAAGTAGGTACATAGATTAAATATACGAACCCCAAAAAGGGCATAATATGGGCTCTTTAATGGTCATGTTCATCTGAACCAACCGCATTATTTCATGTATGACAGACAGATAGCACAAGATCAAGGAGAGAGAAAATAAACTTTTCCCCTCTAGGAGCACACAAACTGCTTGGGTAGCTTCTGCACCATAAAGGAAAGTGAATCTAAGGGCATCCCCAGGTGCTCTGCGATCCTTGATTTGATTGCCAAGTCCGGGGTTTAAACTCCACCAGGTCTTTGTCAAATGTCTTTTTTTTTTCCCAGTCCCCAATATTCCCTCTTTCTCTTTGCACTGTATAATAAGCAATAAGCTTTGAAGAGGACAGAAAAAAGAATCAGACATAAAACAGATCCAGAAACAGAGAGAAATTGAAATTGCAAAAAAAAAGACTAAAAGCAAAGCTTCATGGGCAGCAGAGGAAATGAGACCTCTTACGCGCTGAGGGATCAAAGGAGAGGAGGGTGGGTGCGATCGAAGGGGTTGGCAGGACTAGAAGAAGCTACATTAGTTGAAGGAAACTGAGAAGTGATAGGGAGGGTGTAAAGAAAGGAGGAGGAGGAGTGAGAACATTGGGTCAGAGGACGGGTCAGTGCAGATAAGCAGAGCGATGAAACCTGCGGTGAAGGCCTTGGGTAAGACAGAGAACGGGAAGAGCTTCAGTGACTGCTACGATTTAATGCAACCAATCCATTCAAGGAGCCGACAAGGAGGTATGACAGATTCCACGTCATTCACACCTCTATTGATTGACACTCACAAATGTATGCAGCTAGAAGCTCTTAATGAGTCTGTTCAGCAGGAGGTGACCTTGTGCCACGCATTCTCACTGAATGCATCTACAGCACAGATCCATAAACACAAACACATAATATGGAATAAATGCAAACAAAATGTGTTGACGTTAAGTGATTAAGCACACAAACATACAGACACAAAGAATAGATGGATCAGAAAGCACGGTAAAATCAATGCAGGCATTAAGTGAAACCCTGTTACTGCCTCACGGGCTGTTCTCAGTGCTGAAGTCTGAGTACACCAAGAAGCTTTATATAGTGAAACCTTCACACACATCGCACTCGACAAGTCCTTCACATGAAGCCACAGAATCATGAGACTTTTGACGCCAGTGCATGTGTCAAATATGTCCACCCCTCCGTCTTCAGTCAGTATTCATTAGCTGGTAAAAGAGACAAACAGAAGAAGTTATTGCCATGATGATTTTTTTCACCCAAGTTTTCAATCAAGGTGTGTTCAATATGTAAGGAATAACGCACTATGAGGTGTCCAATATCAGGGACATGGAGGGGAGAACCATCCTCCTCCAAAGAGTCCATAAATTCTTGATACTGGAAGACTGTATCCCAACTGATATTGTGGGTCAACCGACCCACAAAATGTGAAATAAACCCATCCAGTCCTTTGTTTGTGGTCTGCATAAGTCTTACAACACAGAGAAAAATGCTCTGTTTCAAATTTGCTAAACTTGTGACATCACAGTGGGATTCTGGTAAAAACATCCCCTCCCCTCCCCTGGTATCTCCATCCATGGACTCCACCCCCAGAACAAAACTTTTGTGCAGGGAGTGCTTGCTTTTGTGCATTTTTATTCTCGATAGCCATGGAGTGATGTCTACGGGGAAAACTCAGGGGGGGCTCATGGCATTTAAAGAGACACAGAGCTGGTTTATACAGGGTCACAAACCTCCTCTGGTGCTTGATTCATGTTATATTTTGACCAAAGCACAGCACAGATGTTTCATTTAGACCACAGGGGACTGTTTGAAAGGTGGAAAAGGCGTATAATATGTCCTCTTTAAGGAGAGAAAAAAATCGAATACCGATATATCAGCCAATATCTTCCCGTTTCCAGAAACCAGGATAAGCCCTATCTCAATTTTGCTACATGGAAAACTCAAAAACAGGATACTGTGGCATATATACCACGGCCCAACCAATATGGAATTTTTGGGTCCAATACCAATATTGATTTTGCGGCAAAAACTATTCCAATACTGATATATCAAATCTATAAAATCTGTAGAGATAGATAGATAGATATAGATAAACATTTTTATTGTGTCGATCCCTCAGTTATCAAGCACTTTGAAAACATATTCAATGAAGACAAGATGGCCACTCAACTGGAAAGTAACTGAGCATGTACGTGCATCACCTCTTGACTCTCTGTAGAGTAATGATGCTTGTTGTAATCCATGTAGCGCCCTCTGCTGGTCAAAGAGAACTGCGAGTGTAACACAATGAAACTCAA